TAAATGCTTAGTCATAGCAGCTTATCACTTCTTGGCACCGAATTCTGGAGTAATATGTGTACCTTCAATTACACGACAGTAACAAGTCGATCCCTGAACATCAGAAACTTACAATGCAAGGCTTATTGGGTCCTGCTGGCTCCATAGCACCTCACTCTGGACACCTCTGACAGAGCCGCTCTCATCTTGCACCCTGCTGGTAGTTTGCTGTTGTAGTAGAAAGCTCTGGGGTTTTTCCTAATGGTAGTGTAATAATTTGGTTCAGAAGTGAAAAGTATTCTTTAGGCGCAACTCATTGGCCAAAACACCCTTCTGCTTACCAGCCAGCCCAACGGAGCTAAAGCGTACAAGCCCATGTTCCAGCAAGGCAGAGGGCTGGAGAGCTTTGGAAAGCAGTGCTAATTATATCACAGCAAGGGAGGAAGAAGCAGACTCCAAACTTGCAATACCAACCAGTTCTCTTGCAATCATCCCTGAAAGATAGGACTCCTTATAGATGTATTTCTTGGCAGGGGACACCCTTTCCCGAGGTTGTGGATTTGCATGGCACAGATGTCTGACGCATTCTTTTCCCAATATACATCTTCACTCAAGTGAAAGCGGCTAGATTTTTCTCTCTGAAGCATCATCATAATCATAGTCATCACCACCACCATCATCATTTTGTAAATGACATCCTCGTCACTATCATTCAAAACTTGGATGAGGCAGTTAATTATAAATAGCATTTGCCTATCAGAGACGTCTTTGCATTTATCTTTTCTTGGTCTATTTGGTCATGAGGAAGGCATAGGTGGCAGGAAATGATCACACTGCTTCCAACCACTAAAATAGTGAGAGGGAACATTAGGTTTAAGAGTTATGCTATCAAGTGTGGCAAGAAACTTTAGTTTGTGGAATCAATGGGTGCTATAATATTGGCAGGAAGTAAACCTACACAGAGTTCAAAACATCTGATTCATTTTTAATGTAACTCTATGATGACCAAATTTTGGAGGGGTGTGTGCATTGGTGTGTGTGTGTGTGTGTGTGTGTGTGTGTGTGTGTGTGTGTGTGTGTAGAGGGAGAAGAGCACAGGGCAAATTGTGGGCAAGAGTGTGTAGTTTAGTGGTAAATCAGTTACCTTTTATGTGCAGGGCTCTGAGTTCAATTCTCAGCCCTGACCACTCCCAACTTGTTCTTGGAGCAGGGGGCTGTGGGTGAGAGGAGAACCTTCCCAGGGTTTACTCAGAGAAAGGAGACTAAGATGATGGCCCTGGCCATTCTCCTGCCTTCCCAGAGGACAACCGAGGCATTCTTCTAGAGGATGATCACACACACACACACACACACACACACACACACACACACAGTACAAAATGTAACAAGAAGCAGCCTGGAAATGTGATAGAATGATCATTTATATACCTGGAAGTGCATTTGAGGGTCTGAAGCCAAGGGAAGAAGATAAATTGATGCCAAACTATGTGCCACATTCTATGTGCTTATTTTGTTTGACATACACATCAAGTTGCTGATGTTCTGCCTTTCTAGAAATGTCATGGATTTAAATAGTTTTACAATTTTAAATCCATAAATCATCCATTTTCATCCATATCCCAGACCTGAAAGAGTGAATCAGTGTCTTCATAAAGTCTATGTTTGCATGTCTAGTCTGTCCGTCCACACACACAGGTTGGAGAAGTAGCGGTGGGTGGATCCCAGCTTATTTATGATCCTCTTTCTATTGTCAGTCTGCTAACCCACCTCATTGGCTCAGTACCCTGTCCTATTGATTAGCAGTTCCTGAAGTTCCGAGCCCAGCTCCTCTCTACTGGATCTCTAATTACCTCAAGCCACCAACCCCTTCTCCTCTGATTTTCTAGCCTCCTGGCCCTTACATATCTTCTTGTACTTCTGTATGACTCCTTACCCTTTCACACCTAAGACCTTCCCCTTGGTTTCTTCTTCAGTCACATCTTGCACTTCTCTGGCACACAATCTTTAAACTCCTTCAACTCACGTGATATTTCTAGCTCAAGACTTCTGCACTTGAATCCCTCTGCTTCTTAACATGGCTGGCCATACCCATCTTTGAAATCTCAGCTGAAAATTGCTTCAGATAGGCTTTCTCGACCAACTGCCCTCTTTAAGGCCAAATCCCCAGGTTCGTTTCTGACATAGCACCCTATGATTCTCTTCAAAACCTTTATTATAATATGCAATATGATGTATTTTCTTTATTGCTTATGAATTGCCTAGAATCTCACATTTAAGATTACAAGAACAAGTATTTTGTCTCTATTATAATTAAATTCTTAGCACCTGGAAGCATATTGGCACCAGTAGCTACTCAATAAATACTAGTTTGATAAATGCATGACTTAGTGTGATTGAAAACATTGGAATCCAAACACAATAAGAGAATAATATTCTGGCATGGGACTGGTATTCAGTGGGTGCTGGGAAAGTGATCACCTGGCACAGGAAACAGAGTCACAGCATCCATGGAGGGAGCTGAGGTTACTTTCTTTCTTCACCTGGAAATGGCCCTTCTGCAGATGTGATTGTGTTCATCCTTAATGTATGACTTGGAGGAATGAGCTGGGCATAGGGTTTGTTTTAAGAAAAGACACAGTCTATTTAACAAAAAAACTAAAAACAGAGCTCTGATTCATGACTTTGCTAGTGGCTTTTCCCTCCCAGGGGAACCTCCCATGCGTGAGGAATCCTTTCTTGGAGCACAGCTTGATACTTGATGTGAAGATAACTGTGGGGCATCAGCTCTGCCTGTAGGTAACTTCTGATTACTGGAAGACTCAGGTGGGCTGTGCACCTCCTTGGCAAAAATGCAGGTTCCTTTCCATACCTCTTGGTTTAGTAGTTACCTCGTTGACAGCTGCTTGGATAAACACGGCAATGACGAAAGCCAACATGCAAGTGAATGATTCATTCCAAAGTTTGAAAACAAAAACTCACAGGATCACAGGCAAATCTATTTACAATCCACAAAATAGTCACAAATAATTGGTACAAGAGTATCTCCTCTATTGTATTTTGTTATTGTTGTTGTTGTTGCTTTCCTTTAATTTTTTTTGAATGGAGCAACTTTTGTTTGAAGTCTAAATTGCTTAATTACACAGCCTGTAAATGGGAAAAGTGTTGATTGGGTAAACTCAGTATGCTTGCTTTCTCACCCTTCACAGAAGTGTGTAAGGTGAAGGGAAGGAGCAGGAATCAACAGCATAGAAAAAAAGCAGCGGTGAGAGAGGTGAGGCAGAAAACGGAGGATGCAGTGCATTCTGAAGCTAGTGAGTCTCTCAGCCACTCTCCACCTGAACTCTCTCCTACAGGTCCAAGAGCCTCAGCCCCCCCCCCCCCCCCCGCTCTGTCCCCTGGGAGCAAATGCTGCTAAGAAGCACTGTGGTTTTAAAAGGCAATACAGAGAACTCTTTGATCCATCTTGTGGTTGGAAAGTACCTTTGCATACCATACCAATGTGGTCCTCGGTAGACATTTATTAATGTACAAACATCTGCACAAAAGCACCTTGTAGTTGTCAACCAGTTCATGTTGACGATCACCAGTTAAAAAAGGGGGAAGCTGAGATTCAAGAAACAACACCCAGAGCAACCCACTAGGGTCTCTCTCTCTCTCTCTCTCTCTCTCTCTCTCTCTCTTTCTCTCTCTCTCTCTCTCAGACAGAAGTTTTCTTTCTCTCAGTAAATACATTCTGCTCTTAACCTTCATTGTTCCTAACATTCATAATTCAATTTTAGAGAACACAACTTGTACCAGATAACTAGTAGGTTGGGAGTTTCTTTCCCCTCCAAATGATAATCTGGAGGTCTTCCACCAAAGTCTCTGGAAAAGAAAAAAAGAAAGTCTATCGTAAGGGACAGTCTGAAAAGATCGGGTGGGTTCTCCTCCACCAGAGCCTCACCTGTGTGACCTAGTGAAGAAAGACAATGTCTCTGGCAGAGGCGTAAGGAGAGCCCTCCTCAGCTCTTCCTTCTGGGAGAGTTAGAGACAGCATTGTGTGGTCCCTAACCACAAACTCAGCTCTATCCAAATATTGCCAAATGGGTCCTTAATGGAGTGTGACCTAGGGGCACAGGTGACTTCTGGTAAATGCACCTGCTCTTCTTTTGTGGATGGCACTTACCATACCAGATGTTCAGGAAGCCAAGGTATTATTATTATTATTATTACTAAAATCAAGAGTTTTTCAAAATTATGCCTTCCTTCACTCACTTTTTCCTCCCTGTTCTTGGAGGCCCAATAAGTGGAAATTTCAGGTGTTCTGCCAGCGATGCTGGCAGCCCCCTTCCAAGGTGCCTGTCCCAGGGCCCCGACAGGTTTCCTAACAGGTCCAGGACTCCCTGGGAAAAGAAGAACTTCGAATGGGGAAGGCACTGGGAGGCTTCTCCCCTGTGGGCTGTCACCCTGCCATTCCAGGACAGTTGCTGCGAGGCCCTTCCAGTTTTGCAAAGGGAAATTCGGGGCTGGGGGCATGGATTGTTTCAAAAAACAATCTAATTGGGAAGCTCTCTGGAAATTTCCAAAGATACTACTCCCTCCACCCTTCTCAGTACGTACTGAGAAGCAGGCAAGTAGGTTTCTGTAAATACAGGGGACGATTCAAGATTTAAATTTTTCACCAAATGTTTGAATGGCTGGCAGCAGAGGGTTCTGAGCCTGTAGTGGGCAGGGGCGAATTTGGAGACGCGGGGTGGGACTGCCCTTGGATGGAACTGCCCCTGGATGGAACACACTGCGCAGGTCAGCTCAGTACACCGATAAAAGCCAACTGCAGAGTGCAGGGGGTGTGGTATTAGGGTGCGGGTGTGAGCTTAGGAGGTGAATAGGAGTGTGTGTCCGCCAGAGGCGCGCCAGGGGAGCGCGGGAGAGGTTGCGGGGAGGTGAATATGCGCTCCAGTGCAGGGTTCAAGGAGGCCCCCCTTGGGGCGAGGGGTGTGCCGTGGGCGTGGGTGGGAGGGGCAGAGGGCGGGGCCTGACACGTCACCAGGGGAGGGTGTGTCGGGAAGGACCGGTTGAGCCGAGCAGAGCGGCGCCTGCAAGAGGCTGGAGCGGCGGGAAGGTGGGTCCCGCGCTCCGGCGCCGGGGCAGCCTTAGGCCCTCTCTGCGCCTAGGAGCCGCTGCCGGGGGGAGGTGGCAGTGGTGGTAGCTGGAGCTTCGACCTTGACCGGACCGAGCCCTGTGGTGGACGCAGGGTGGAGGCCGAGCAGGCCGGCTGCAGGCGCATCTGGCGCTGGGCACCTAGGTCGGCCGGGGTCTATAGTCCGGAGCTGCAGGAGCAGCGCGGCGGGAGCTGGGCGAGCCGGCTGGTGCCAGGCGGACCGCGCCGGGAGCCGGGCCTCGGGAACGGGGAGGGGCGCGGCCACGCGCTTCCCGGCGGCAGTTTCTGCGCTCCAGCCTGCGGCTCGGGCGTCCCGGGGACTCCGGCACGGCGGCGGGGCTCCCGACGGCTCAGGGCCACCTCCTCTGCCCGCGGGTCACCGCCCACCCCAGCCCCACCCTCGCGGCGCCAGCCTCCCGGTGCAGCCGTGGGCGCCGTCCTAGGGGCAGAGCGCGCCCCAGGAGCGCGGGGACATGCGGTCCGAGAAGTCCCTCGCGCTGGCGGCGCCGGGGGATGCCCGGGGTCCGGACGGGGAGCCGCAGGACGCCGCAGACTTCCCTGAGGCTGGCGGCGCCGGGGGCTGCTGCAGCAGCGAGCGGCTGGTCATCAACATCTCCGGGCTGCGCTTCGAGACGCAGCTGCGCACTCTGTCGCTGTTCCCCGACACGCTCCTGGGGGACCCGGGTCGCCGCGTCCGCTTCTTTGACCCGCTCCGAAACGAGTACTTCTTCGACCGCCACCGGCCCAGCTTCGACGCCATCCTCTACTACTACCAGTCCGGGGGCCGCCTGCGCAGGCCGGTCAACGTGCCCCTGGACATCTTCCAGGAGGAGATCCGCTTCTACCAGCTCGGCGACGAGGCTCTAGCGGCCTTCCGGGAGGACGAGGGCTGCCTGCCGGAAGGTGGAGAGGATGAGAAGCCGCTGCCCTCCCAACCCTTTCAGCGCCAGGTGTGGCTGCTCTTTGAGTATCCCGAGAGCTCGGGCCCCGCCAGGGGCATCGCTATCGTCTCCGTGCTGGTCATCCTTATCTCCATTGTCATCTTCTGCCTGGAGACGCTGCCACAGTTCCGGGCAGAGGGTCGCGGGGGAAGCAGTGATGGTGTAAGTCGAGTGGCCCCAGCTTCCAGAGGCAGTCAGGAGGAGGAGGAGGACGAGGATGATCCCTATACCTTTCATCGTGGCATTGCCCCAGGAGGCCTGGGGACAGGGGGTTCACCCTCACTCAGTACTCTTGGGGGCTCCTTCTTTACAGACCCCTTCTTCCTGGTGGAGACTCTGTGCATTGTGTGGTTCACGTTTGAGCTCCTTGTGCGCTTCTCTGCCTGCCCTAGCAAGCCGGCCTTCTTCCGAAACATCATGAACATCATTGACTTGGTGGCCATCTTCCCCTACTTCATCACCCTGGGCACGGAGCTGGTGCAGCAACAGGAGCAGCAGTCAATGAGTGGAGGGGGTGGCCAGAACGGGCAGCAGGCCATGTCCCTGGCCATCCTCAGGGTGATCCGCCTGGTCCGGGTGTTCCGCATCTTCAAGCTCTCCCGCCACTCCAAGGGGCTGCAGATCCTGGGCAAGACCTTGCAGGCCTCTATGAGGGAGCTGGGGCTGCTCATCTTCTTCCTCTTCATCGGAGTCATCCTCTTCTCCAGCGCCGTGTACTTTGCAGAGGCTGATGATGGCGATTCACTCTTCCCCAGCATCCCAGATGCCTTCTGGTGGGCAGTGGTCACTATGACCACTGTGGGCTACGGGGACATGTACCCCATGACTGTGGGGGGCAAGATTGTGGGTTCTCTGTGTGCCATTGCTGGGGTCCTCACCATTGCTCTGCCCGTCCCAGTCATCGTCTCCAACTTCAACTACTTCTACCACCGAGAGACGGAGCAGGAGGAGCAAGGACAGTATACCCATGTCACTTGCGGGCAGCCCACGCCCGACCTGAAGGCGACTGACAATGGACTTGGGAAACCAGACTTCTCTGAGGCTGCCCGGGAACGGAGACCCAGCTACCTGCCCACTCCACATCGGGCGTATGCAGAGAAAAGGATGCTCACTGAGGTTTGACCTACGTCCTGCAGGAGACCCAGGTCTTGCGGGAGAAGGGACGTGCTGAGCAGACCATCTCTGAGGCTTAATTCTCATCTCCACAACTCTCCCCCTTGACTCCTGCCCCTAGATCCTATACAAGGCATCCAGGCAAGGCAAACACTTGGACTAACAGCCTTGTTGCTTGATCCCTGCAGCATTCAAGGTTCATCCACCTGAGTGACATTTTTGAAATTCCAATGGTGCCATCCAGTCATGTCCATCTTCTGTCACATGGATGAGATGTACATTTAAATCTGACCTTCCCTGAAGACTCTGATTTCTCATTTCTGGGACTCCTAGTATCTCTAGGAAGAGCCATGTCAATAGAACAGAAGCCAGCCATACTCAGGTCCTGTCTGTCTCCATAGTGTTTGTTTTGAGGCATGCACTTGTCTTACCTTCTTCTGGTCACCCAGTACGTGGTACCTCACAGGAGCTGGAGGACGGAAACAGTATTCAACTTGCTGTTTTATTCCTGTACTCTGTAACATCTGCCGACCATCCTGCAGAAGACACTTGCTAGAGCATTTAGCTGCACAGCTTTAACGTGTATTAGTTTTGGTGGAACTACAGAAAAATACAGTTAAATAAGACCATTTGAATTTTCCCAGGTGTGAGCCTGCATCAGCAGACACCGGTGCTTGGCTGAGACTTAGTCCTCCTCATACTCATCCTTGATTGTCTCTTGAGCTTCCAGGAAGGCTCTTTCTCAGAGCCAAATACTCTTTTGTGCAAGTGCCTTCCTGTGCAGAGGGATTGGAAGAGAAAACCACAGAGCCAGGAGAAATGGCTGCATACGGACTTGACCACAAACCTGAACTGTCATCTTGGAGTGGAAGCGGGATCTGACTGTAGGCAATAGTTTTTCCATGATCATTTTCCCCAACCCTCTCGAAACCCTCTACCCTTTTTCCAGGGACTCTGACTTAAGGTTGCAGTGGAAGTCTTTCTAAAGCAACCTCACCTTCAATCTGCAGAGTCGAAAGCACATGTTGGCTGCCAGCCTAGGCTTCTTCCCGTTTCATGGGCAATAAGGTATGGTTTAGGGTCAGAAACACACAGCACTCCTCTGCTGACAGCCCCACTGCTCTTGCTGATGAGGCAGACATTCTCCTTGCCTGCCCCGGAGCTGCGCGTGGTCTGCTCTGCCTGCTAAGGTAATGTGGGGCACCCTCCTTCCATCCGTCCCAAACCTCTATTCTCCCTCCTGGTAACATCACTGTTCCTTTTTTTTTTTTTTTTTTGCCTTTCATGAACTGCGCTGTACCACTCTGATCTCTCCTGGGTGCAGTTCTGAAACCAAAGGGACTGTTAACACATTTAGAATTTTCTATCTATGCTGTAAGACTCTGATGAGAACGTGGTTTTTTTTTTTTTAGAAAATTATTTTTTCGAAGAGTGACAGCTCTTCCAGGGACAGCTTTTTGAAGGTCCACTTGAGGGGCTTCTGTGAGTGCCAGATCCAAATCTGGATTTTGCTGCAGCGTAACTGTGGTGAGATAGTCCCTCTTTGTGCCTCAGTTTCCCTGTCTATTAAATGGGAACATCAATGTCTTTCCCTCCCTACCTCATGGGGAATGTCAATGAACTTATCCAGGAATCCGGGGAAGACACTATGCAATTATAGTAATGAATTTGATTTTTAGTTATCACTTGGTCTCCCTATCTTCCAGGGGCAAGGTTTCCCTCTAAAGGTTCTGCCTTGGATTAAGAGCCCAAGAAATACACCATTAGTTCCTAAATCTCTCCTTGTTCTCTTGGCCTGGGCTTCCATATTTTTTCTTCAAAATGGAGAATGCTCTTTATATAGATGTGGTGGGATCCTTCTAGGGATGGAGGTCATCTTGCTTGGGAGCTTGCCTTTCCAATCCTGAAATATAGTAGGACACAAAGGTGTTTGTGAATCAGAGGCCAGAAAGTGCTCTTTTTCCAAATTGCTTCAGTGACTCCTGGCTCTTTAGTGGAGAAGGGCCCACTCCAGGGGCCAGTGGGATGCTCCCAGCTGAGGGTAAATGTTGGAACCTGGGTCTGTGTATCTCTACATGTGTGTGTGATCATCCTCATCACCATCCCTAAGCAAACATTGCCTTTTCAAGTCAGAGCATGCCTGAGAGTAGAAGGATTGTGGAAAGCCAGGCTCTCCAGGGACTTTGGTTGCCGTAGCAACCTTCCAGACTGTTCTCTCTATCTTCTGATTCGAGTATCAAGGGAGAACACATCACATCTTTCCAGCTTCTCAAATGAGAGCACTCCCCATCTATTGGTTTAGGGGCAGATACAGCCAAGACAGGGGCACAAGAGCTTGGAAACTGTGGAGAAAGCTCACCCCCAACACTTCTCTGGACCTTTCTTCTTGGTTTTCTCATGAAGACCTCGAGCTGCCTCATCTTACTCCTGAGTATAATATGCTAAGCAACTGCCCAGTTGAATCATTGTCAATATTATGATTTTAAAATGACAAGGGAGTCTTTGAACAAGACAACTTATTATTCCTCATTCAGCAGCCACACTGGGTTTTGCTGAGAATAATACTAGTCTTAGGTATCTTGGAGTTCTCAGCTCCTCAGACAGAGGCTCTTCTAAGCTCTCAGAGAGACGGAGGAAAATGAAACTCCTTCCTCCCGGGGAACAGTCTGGCTCCTGAAAAAACTCTCATAGGTGGTCCTTCTTGAATCTCAGAAGGAAAACAGAACTGGTGGCTCCACTTGGTTTCTATGTAGGATTTTGTTCTCCCTCTGGCCTGGGGCATCTCCATGTGGATGTGAATATCAGGAGACTGTGCACTGTTTGTTGCTGTGACAGCGGGCACTGGCAGTCACGGCTGCCAGGAAACGTGGAGTCCATGCTATCTTCACACCCGACTCGAGCCAGCGGGGCTTCCAGAGGACTTCCTGGGACTGCCAACCTCGACCAGTGATGAAAGCTGCTCCTCCTGCCTGGGTATCCCCAAGGAGCAAGGAGGGACAGCTGGCTGCTTCTGCACCTGAGGTAGGTCCAGCTGTGGGGGATTTTGTCCGGGCTCAGTCCTATAGGCAACGTTAGAGCTGGGGGTGGTGGGGAGAGAAGCTGGGGGCGTGTACCCATGGAAGCTGGGCTGCCGTGGCCTTTGCGAGTGGCCACCTCGCTCGATTTCTGTCTCCGGCTCCATTCACTTTCGTTGTCTTTTCTCTTTCTGTTTTCTCACAGCAGCCCCATCCCTGACTCTTGCTGTCTCTTTTCCTCTGCATCCTTTTCCTTCTGTTTATTCTTCTTTACCTCTTTTTATCCTCCTTTTCTGGTTTCCTGAGTTCTGATTTCTGTCTCTTTTATGGCTTTAAACATCTCTCTTTCTCTTCTTTCTTTTCTCTGCCTCTTTTTTAGGGGGAGAAAGGTTGACAACAGCTTTGGCATTTCTGTCAAGGTCACACCTTGAGTGTCAGGACAGCTGTGATTCAGGGTGTTAGCTGAGGTCAGTCTCCAGCCACTGGATTTCCTTTCTGACATGTCAGGATATCATCCTTTCGTTCCACACTCCCTGGAACATGTGAGGATGAGAGAGAGAGAGAGAGAGAGAGAGAGAGAGAGAGAGAGAGAGAGAGACAGAGACACAGAGAGAGAGACAGAGAGAGAGAGAGACAGAGAGAGAGACAGAGACAGAGAGAAAACACACAGAGAGAGAGATGGACAGACAGAGACAGACACAGAGAGACAGAGACAAGACAGAGAGAGAGAGACAGATAGACAGAGAGAGACAGACAGGCAGCCAGAGAGAGAGAGAGAGAGAGAGAGAGAGAGAGAGAGAGAGAGAGAGAGAGAAGAGAGAGAGAGACAGAGAGAGAGAGACAGAGACAGAGACAGAGACAGAGACAGAGAGAGAACACAAAGAGAGAGATGGACAGACAGAGACAGAGACAAGACACAGAGAGAGACAGACAGCCAGAAAGAGAGAGAGAGAGAGAGACAACCAAAGAGAGAGACAGAGACAGAGAGAGATATGGACAGACAGAGACAGAGAGAGAGAGAGAGAGAGAGAGAGAGAGAGAGAGAGAGATCCTGATAAGTAGCAGGTAAACATCCTGCCGCATAGCACTGGACTATGCTCATCATCTCAGGGTCCACTGAACTTGAGAGCTTTGCAAAAAGCCTGGAGACAGAGGTGCAACAGGGAAATAAATGGAGTAAAGCAGACTGAGGAGAAGACATTAGAGTGCAGTTACCCTGAAAAAGCCTTAACGCAGGGCTGGCTTGATAACTCGTCGCTTGAAAGCCTGTGTAGCCTCCAGTCAGCTCTGGCTGGCTGCTCAGATGGCAGAACACAAGCGCAGGTCACCATGCTTGGTGACGTGCGGTGTCGGGACACTCCCTGATGAGGCAGCTGGAGGTGCAGCATGTTTTGCTGTCCCTGCTGGAGGCTGCAGAGTACAGGGTTAAGTCTCACCTGCACCAGGACCGAAGATGGCCCTTGCTGCCCCCAGGGGGCTACAACAGGGCTGTTGAATCAGCATCAGATAGTTTTTCTTGGGGGGGGGATGACACAAATGTTTAAAGGGAATTATGTTGATAGTCATAGAATTTTTAAAATTAATCAGAAAAAGCATTTAGTGGGCGGCAGTGCAACACCGGTCTAGTGATTTAGGGGGGTCACACTGGGGTGGGGGGAAGGCATGGTTTTGCAAATCAAGAAAGTTAGTGCCTCCAGAGGTGGACCAGACTGAGTAACTGATAGTGAAGGATACAGGTTATTTCTTTCGCCACAGAAGGATACTTCAGGGCTGTCTGCCATTGGTTCTTGCTGTTTCTCTATAATACCAGGAACAGATTGTGTGTGTGTGTGTGTGTTTTCATCTTGACAATCAAAGTCTGGTGGGATTTACATGCTTTTCATTTCTCTAAAATGTAACAAGGAATTTTTCTGGCAAATTAAGAACGTAATTAGTATGTGCTGGACAAATAATCAGCGTGTTGGACAGGACTCACTATGCACAGGTAATGCAGGAGCTTGCTTGAGGAATTTGCACTTTGTTGGCCAAATACATAGATAAATACTACCACAAACAACCCCAAACCCCCACCTAACTGCTGCACCTGCAAGCTCTGAATTCCTTAAGACATGGCATAGAAGCTGAGACTTTATTTTTCCCATTCCTTGCCTGACATCCTCTGCATGGTGGTTGTTAACCCTTCACTGTGCTGTGATGAGAATCCAGCAGTCCTGAGTACTGTAGACAAACCAAAGAGGGGGGGGGTAGCCTGCTTTTATCGTTCCTTTTCCCTAGTATCCATCAGGCCTTGTTCCTGTTGTTATTTGCCTGTGCCCACAGCACCCCTTTTTTCCTTCTTTGGGGCTGTGCTCAGGTGGCACCTTCTGATCCTCCTCCCTGGCTGAGCCCTTGCTTTGGGTGGCATTTCTGTTGCTCTGCACTTCTATGTAAATGCCAAGATAGATTCCCAGAGAATATCACCCCCACCCAGGGCAATCCAACTGGAAGTGCCATTTGGCTGTGATTGGTTGACTGTGTTATTGCCATGGGAAGCAAAGTGTGGTCTCATTGTAGGATGTCACGGTCACTTAGGGGAGGAAAAGAAAGCTATTAATTTAGCTGTAGGATTCTTCTCTGCAGCGCCCTTAGACCAGCCTGCACAGATATCTCTTGGCAGAATAAGTCCTGGAGCATGGGGGGAGGGAGCAACACAACTTCCAGTCTGGTCACTGAGAATAAAGACAGAGGGGCATGTGGTAGGGGTTCCTGCTCTAGGCTTGAGGTCCCTGGGGGCTGGACAGTGCCTTGTCTGTCACCTCCCTTTGCTCTAATTTGAGAAAGTGGCTCACCCTGCTTCTTTGTCCCTTCTTGGTCCTCACACTCTTGCTTTACTTGGTACATAAAAGGGAGCATAGAAACCTGCCCTGCCACTGACCACTTCTGAATGGTTACCCAAATAGAGTGGGGCTCTCTCATTCCCAGAACAAAAGAGAAAGACAGGCCTGTACCACAGCAAATCATTAGCACTGACCTAACCTTGGCTACTGCTTGATCTATTTGAGCCTTACCCCTATTGGGGTTTCTGGCGTTTTTTAAAAAAACACAGCTCTGACTTCATTGTTGTTTCTATAGGGAGAACCCCCTTAGAGGGTCATGGACCCTGGCAGGTAGGCTTTACTTGCCCTAGAAGACATTCTGTACTTTTCAGTAGTCTCTGCTGTAGGCTGGAGGGAGCATAGACAGACAAACAGACAGACAGACCTTTGCTCTTGGTGAGAGCAGAGCCGACATTTCAAGAGGAAATCGCAGCCACATAGTCTGTTGGTTGGTGCTGCTATTTTTGACATGCTCTCTGTTCTCCCAGGGCCTGACAACCACTGTCGCCAGGAGACAGACAAACTTGCTCTTGGCAGCCGAGAAGGAACTCAGCAAGATGGTCCTGTGGCTGGTGGGGGAGGGCATGGCATTTTCCCCTCACCTCCAGGAAGCCTGGCCCCTGGCCAGCATCCTCAGACTCAGGCTGGGGGTGTACATCCCTCTCCCAGCCCTGCTTTGCAAACTCCCAGGTGAGCAGACTCCCACCAGGGACAGGCAGGCCACCGCTCTCATTCACAGGCCCCTGCAACTGCTCTCTCCTCTCTGGAGTCACAGTCTACAGCAAAGTAGTGAGGCGGATTGTGGCGCTCGAAAGGGAGCTCAGGAGGACTTCTGCTGTGATGCTGCAAGTTTTGAAACTGCTCTAGGTGCCTCAGTTTCCCCCTCTGTCAAATAATAACAGTAATCTTATAGAGTGGTTTGGAGATTAAGTGAGTTAATATATGCACAATGCTTACAATGGTAAGCACTATATAAGGGCGGAGTACTAGGGTCATTGCATTCCTGCAAGGGGATGTGGCAGGTAGACAGGTTGTTCTCCTCTTTGGTGGACAGGAGCTATTGAGCTCAGAGGGTTTGTGACAGGTTCAAGGGTGCATGGCTATGTGTGGCTCATCACTGATGGTACAGAATGGAATGTAGTGAGGGTCTGTTTGAGGTTGAATACGTAAAAGTGGAGTTGTGGTGTGTAGATGTTTATAAAGGCTTTTTAATTTATATACCAGTATGTGTCTGATGGAAAAGTCCAATTACTTGATACCTTTCCCCACATAGGATTCCAAAATACATGATGATATCTGTGTCTGTATCTATACATCCATATCCATATCATCTGTATCTATCTGTATCCCACATCTTGTACGTGTGGGATATCTTTCTGTCTTCGTCCCTGTGAGTACCATTCCCTTCTCTCTGGTCCTCATCCTTACCACTGATGCTGTTCCCTAGTCACCTTGCTGTTCTACCGTTTCTGCTAAACTTTGGTGATGAGGGCTCCCCTTTCACATCTCTAGGGTACCTTTCTGTTTCTCTTCTTCTTTTAAAGCAGAGGGGGTAGAAACCTCAGAGTTGGAAGAGGCAGGCTTTCCTTGCATCTGTGAATCTCCGTCCACCTCCTCCCTAACTAAACATCAGCTCCTGCAGCACTCCATGATGTCCTGGCACCGGCCCAGCATGCAATGCCTGACCACGGCTCCCTCCCATGGCCCTGCAGTTTGCAATTCAGGACCCGTATGACATCCCTGCCCCCTGCACCATTCCTGGCTTGCTCACCTTTGGAGATAATTTGGGTCTGTACCTCATTTAACCTCGCCAAGCTTCAGTTTTGTCATCTGCAAAACAAGGTTGCTGTCACCACTTGCCCCTTCTCGTTATAACGAGGGTTAACCGAGGTACCAGTTAAAGGGTTAGCAGGGTGTGAATTCTGAGCAAAGCCCAGCTCTGAAGAGAAGAGGAGCCCTTGGTGGCACCAGTGACATTGGGTACAGGATGGAGTTGGGGCTACCTGCACTCTCAGAGAAAGCCAAGGTCCCTGCCAGTGTCAATTTTGTTCTCCAAAACAAATATTCAAATGAAATATGATATAAAAATAGACTCTAGGTTTCTCTCTGTTTTACCAGACGGCCCTTTGCCTAGAGGATTTACAGCAGGATT